TTTTTTAGAAACTGCCGTTTTTCAGACAATTGACGGAACTTCCGCTGAACGTTGGGAAATGTTGCACAGTCACCTGCGGAAGTTCTGTAAACGTGATGGGAAGTTCCCCAAATGAGGTGCTGCAGAAATTCCGACGAATGCGAACTACAACAACAAAAGAGAAAGCCTGAGCGAGATTTGAACTTTATTCATTGACTAGGCGACTCACTTACTATCCTCTGCACTACACAAGAATGTTCCAGTGCACTCTAGTTGTTGGCGAGACAACATCGTAAGACAACGTGTTCAAAAACCTGCGGAAGTACTGTCAGATCAAAATGTTGGGGATCCGCTGGCATATTTCGAAGTTTTAGCAGCGTTTTGTTAAAAGTCCTGCAAATTTGTTTCCAACCAGTCTAACGTGAAGACTCTGCGGAAATTCCCATTTATAATCTTTCCACTTCTGTAATGCTAAATGAAGTCCTGCGGAATCCCTGCAGATTTGTCTTGCTGCGGAGGTTCCGGTTGATTGTTCTCACTGCTTTTCGATGTGCACTAGAATTTGAAGTTCGTTCAGCCCCCTCCCTTCCACACCTCTGAATTCCCCTGGCATATCAGCGGAATCCAGAAAATCAGCTTCAGAGATTAAAAAGACCCTTCTTGTGGTATTCCACTAGTTTCGTGCTCGTGCATGCATAAAAGGAACTCGAAGAAAAAGCACAAACCTTAACTCCGGTGGTTCTTCTCATGATGGCCGCAAAAATTGGCGGATGAGGCGAATCGGGTATGTTGGCGAATGGAGAGTCAAGTGGAAGAAATCGTTCGCCACCTCCTACAACCAACCACTTCAAAAATCTCTTCAATTCAATGGAGAAAAGCATCTTCAACCATATCCGGTCGAACTCACCTTCGACAGCATATCCGGTGACATTCACATAACGAACTGCAGCGCAATAGTGCAAGGTGTTGATGGGGAAAAACGCAGTTTCACTTTTCTTATCGCCTTCGATGTATTCGAGTAGAATACCATTTGACCATACTGATAGCCT